TTTACTGTGGAGAAAGAAATGGAGGCTAGAGAACTCAGGGAAATAAATATCGATGTGTTGTATACAGTTCACAGTACAGAGATGAATTTCTGGAGATCTTAGAAAACAGTGGCAGATGGAGTTTAACCCTGAAAAGTGTGAGGTGATTCCTTTTGGAAGGACAAACTTGAAAGCAGAATACAGGGTTAACGGAAAGATTCTTGGCAGTGTGGAGGAGCAGAGGGATCTTGGGGGTCATGTCCACAGTTCCCTGAAAGCTGCCACCCAGGTGGATAGAGTTGTTGAGAAGGCATATGGTGTGTTAGCTTTCAATAACAGAGGGATTGAGTTCAAGAGCCATGAAGTTATGCTCCAGCTGTACAAAACCCTGATTCGACCATGTCTGGAGTATTGTGTCCAGTTCTGGTCGCCTCATTACAGGAAAGATGTGGAAGCGTTGGAAAAAGTACAGAGGAGATTTACCAGGATGTTGCCTGGAATGGAGGGAAGGTCTTACGAGGAAAGGTTGAGAGAGCTAGGGATTTTCTATTTAGAATGATGAAGGATGAGAGGTGACTTGATAGAGGTATACAAAATGATCAGAAGTATAGGTAGAGTGGACAGCCAGAGACATTTTCCTAGGGTGGAGGTAGCTATTACGAGGGGGCAGAGTTTTAAAGTGAGTGGAGGTAGATATTGGGGAGACGTCAGAGGTAGGTTCTTTACTCAGAGTGTGGTAGGGGCGTGGAATGCATTGCCAGAGAGGGTATTGGAGTTGGCCTCATTAGGGGCACTTAAGCGGCTTTTAGATAGACATATGGATGATAGTATAAGGTCGGGGTGGAGGTCAGATAGACCTTAGGTTTAGGGTAAAAGTTCAGCACAACATCGTGGGCCAAAGGGCCTGTACTGTGCTGTACTGTTCTATGTTCTACATTCTACAAAGGTGAATAAATGTCCAGGACCTTATCACGTGTTTCCCAAGATGTTGTGGAAAGCTAAGGAGTAAGTTGCAAGTGCCCTAGCAGAAATATTTGTATCATCTATATCTACGTATGAGGTAGCTGGAGGACTGGAAGCTGGCTAATGTTGTGCCTTTGTTTAAGAAGGGATGTAAGGACAAGCCTGGGAACTATAGACCTGTGGGTGTCACATCGGTGGTAGGTAATTTGTGAAAGATAGGATTTACATGCATTTGGAGAGGCAGCAATGATTAGGGACATTGAGCATGGTTTTGTGTGAGGGAAATCATGCCTCACAAACTTGATTGAGTTTTTTGAGGAAGTAACCAAAAAGATTGATGTGGGCAGAGTGGTTGATGTTGTTTACATGGACTTTAGTAAAGCCTTTGACAAGGTTCCATCTGGTAGACTAATTAGTAAAGTTAGATCATGTAGGATTCAGGGTGAACTTGCCAATTGGATACAAAGTTGGTTTGATGGTAGGAAGCAGAGTGTGGTGGTGGAAGGTTGCTTTTTTGCACTGGAGGCCTGTAACCAGCTGTGTTCCATGGGGATCAGTACTGGATCCACTTTTGTTTGTCATTTATATAAACAATTTAGATGAGAATATAAGAGGCATGGTTGGTTATTTTGCAGATGTCACCAAGATTAGTGGTATAGTGGACAGTGAAGAAGGTTATCTGAGATTACAAAGAGATCTTGATCGATTGCATCAATGGACTGAGGAGTGGCAGATGGAGTTTAATTTGGATAAATGCAAGGTGTTAAATTTTGGTAAAACAAACAAGGGTAGGACTTATACAATTCATAGTTTAGTTTAGGTTAGATGGGCTTCAGATTGGTTTCACAGGTCGGCGCAACATCGAGGGCCGAAGGGCCTGTGCTGCGCTGTAACGTTCTATGTTCTATGTTCATGGTGGGACCCTGAGTGGTGTTGTAGAATAGAGAGACCTAGGGGTTCAGGGACACAGTTCTGGGAAATTTGCGTCACAAGGCGGTTGAGAAGGTGTTTAGCAAGCTTGCCTTCATTGCTCAGACCTTTTGAGTATAGGAGTTGGGACATCATGATACGGTTGTACAGGATGTTTGTGAGGCCTGTTCTGGAATACTATGTGCAGTTCTGGTCAACCTGTTACAGGGGGATATTATTAAATAGCAGAAAAGATTTATCCCTATGTTTCCGGGAATGGGGGGGGAGGGGTGGTGGGTTTGAGATATAAAAGTAGGCTGGATAGTCTGGGACTTTATTCACTGGAGCGTAGGGGGTTGAGAGGTGACATTATAGAGGTTTATAAAATCATGAGCGGCACAGATAAGGTGAATGGCAAAAGTCTTTTCCCATGGGTGCGGGAGTCAGAGCCAGGGGGCATATTTTTAAGGTGAGAGGAGAATGATTTAAAAAGGACATGAGGAGCAACCTTTTTACACAGAAAGTGGTTTGTACGTGGAATGAACTTCCAGAGGAAGTAGTCAATGTAGGTTTCGTTATGACGTTTAACAGACATTTGTTTAAGTACATGAATAGGAAAGGTTTGGAGGGAAATGGGCCAAATGCAGGCGTGGGGTCTAGTTTAGTTTAGAGACATGGTCAGTGTGGACTAGTTGGATTGAAGGGTCTGCCTCCACGCTGCATGAATTTATGACTCATTGCTGTACAGAGCAAAACAGAGTTAACGTTTTGAGCTTAATATGACTCTTGCAACAAAAACAAAGTTGCTGGAAAAGCTCAGCAGGTCTGGCAGCATCTGTGAAGGAGAAAACAAAGTTAACGTTTCAGGACCTGTTTGGTGTAATGACCTGCTTCTGTACTGCAAACACTGAAAGAGGAGTAATTTTGTTCTTTCCAGGCTTTCATGAGATATAGCTAACACCAGCATCTATTGCCCTGAACTGAGTCCGTAGTTAAGAGTCAACCACATGACTGTGGTTCTCAAGTCACATGTAGGCAGACTTCCTTCCTGAAACAGCAGGTGGAAAACAGATGGATTTTTAACCATCAATGGTATTTTCCTGACTGGAATTACATTGTAGATTTATTCATTTAACTTTAATTTCACCAGCTACCATGATGTGAAGTCATGACGCTAAAGCTTTAGCCTGGATCTCTGGTTTGCTAGCGCAGTGACATTACCATTATGCCTCTCTCTCCCACATTATCGCCATAAAGACAAGGAAAGGTTAATTCGCTGGAGAACAAGTTGGATTCCAGCACATAACTAGTGATTGATAAATGAGGCAGAAGCTGTTCTGATAGCATCTCCTAGGAGAATTGGTATCATGAATATTGTTGCCATTGTGTGGAACTGTGATCTGATTGTGACACTTGTTCTATTTTGAACAGTCATGAAACTGTATTTATTGTTAAAACCATTCGTCAGAACTGAAGTACAGGTTGGAAAGCCAGTCAGTCAGACAGGTCTGAACAGAACACTCTTTAAAAAAATGAACACAACATTTTATGAGTTCACTGCTAAGTTGTCACATCTTTATTGAGTGATCTCCATTGTGTTCTGAAATGTCCATCTCCAAGTTATTAGAGACCTGCCTGACAGAACTGCAACATGCTAAATGAGTTTGTATGTTTGCCCTTACATTGACCCTTACATTTATACAACCTTATCCATATCTCAATCGAGTTCCCCAAACAAAAATCTCCTATTGTCAGTGAATTGGCTTGAGTTGTGTGACAAAGGAATTTTTTCTGGTCAACTGTTCCTCACAGAAAAAAGGAAAGGACTTGGATTTGATCTCACGATGTCAGGACTTTTCAAATCTTCTGCAGTTAACAAGCACTTTCAAAGTGTGTCCACTGTTGCAATGGAGAAAACATGGCAGACAACTTGCTCACAGCAAGATCCTCTAAAGATGAACGTGATAAATGACCAGGTAGTCTCCCTTGATAATATTGGTGGGGAGATGAATAATGGCAAAAACTCAGTTGCTCTTCTCCAAATCAATCTCCACCTATGGGTCTTGATTTAACATTGCATGTGCAGAGCAGCACTCCTTCAGCTGTGTCTCGGAGTGTCAAGCTGGATTCTATCGACCTCCCACTGACGTTCTGAACCCACAACCTTCATGATACCTTCACCCAAGCTACTGCCAGCAAAGGGGACAGAGCCAAAGGTTCACTCCACAAGGAACATCAATTGAAATATTAATAGAGATTTGGATTTTGCATTGAGTTTCCAAGT